AGATAGATAGATAGATAGATAGATAGATAGATAGATAGATAGATAGCCTTAGATTTATTCCAGCAAGACTGGAAGAGTGGCTGTGGGTGCAGAAGTCAACTGAATTCCGTCTAGACTGGGTCATGCTGCCTGCAGAGATTCAAATCCACGAAGCCGCCAGTGATCCACTTTCGCTCAAGGGAGTCTTCCCCTTTTCGTGAGTTGAAGCCTCTCCTCCTCCCTTCTAGGAGATCCAGGGCGCACTGGCTGGCTGGACTGGTCCAGAGCTGGGGGCGTTTGGGGAGCTGATCCTGGAGGGTCAGTTCCGGGTGCCGCGAGCCCGCAAGGAGAGGGTCTTCTTTCTCCTCAGCAAAGTCCTGCTGATAGCCAAGCGGCGCGGGGAAGCCTTCGTCTACAAGAGCCACATCTTTGTAAGGAGGACCAGGGATCTGGGGGAGGAGGAGAATTCGGGACAGCTAGATCAGTGTTTCTCAACCTGAGCATGGCTGGCTGGGGAATTCTGGGAGTTGAAGTCCGCACCGCTTAAAGTTGCTGGGGCTGAGAAACACTGAGTTAGATTTTCGGGGGCATCCTGGGAACATTTCCAGGGCAGCCCCTCCCCACGTGAGGAGATGCTGCCTTTCCGGTGACGTTCCCCTCTGGCTTTTCAGTGCTGCAACCTGGGGCTGCAAGAGAACACCAAGGACCCGCTGAGCTTCAAAATCTCCGACCTCTCCATCCCCAAGCAGCAGCACACGGTCCAGGTGAGGTGCCAAGGTCCTGCTGCCCCGTGGAAAGCCCCGTGGGGAAGCCTCTGTCCTCAGACCTCACTGAAAAGGGCTTAGAATGCATTCTTCCTGGGAAGCCATAGGGTGGGGAAAATTCGGATTTTTCCTCACTTGCAGCTACAGACCCAGGCAGCCACTGGATTGCCCCTTGATCCCACAGCATTAACCCTAATCTTGCCCCGAGCCTGTGCCTTAAACAGTTTTATTTCAGTCTCTTGCAATCCGTTTTTCCTGATTAAACCGCCACAGAACCATGGCCTGCCTATTGCCCATCCATCGGTTCATATCCATCATTGCTAGATTCCCGTAACTCTGGAGTAAGAACAGTAGATGCGTGTTTTTGACTGCTCCTCAGCCGAGCAATATTCTCAAAATAGCTCCGTTGCCCAGAAGGAGAATCCAACCTGGACGTCAACGGGGGTCAGTGTCCCATTGCTCCAGCGAGAGCTGAGCCACATTAAGGGCTTTTGTGGGACACAGTTACTCCCCAGGAAAAGGAGCATGGGGCAGAAGGGCAGCCAAGACTGCTTCCGTTTACACCATATTTGAAGTGTGTTCGGTTGCAAACTGGCTACGCTAGATCTTCCTGGATTTCTGGGCTGCAGAAACGCCCCCAACAGCATCCCTTCTCTGCTGCTGCAGGTGCGGAACCAGGAAGAAAAGCGACTCTGGATCCATTACCTGAAACGCTTGATTGTGGAGAATCACCCAGCGTCTATTCCACAGAAGGTAATTGGGGGGGGGGCTGGGATTTTTCTGAACTTGGGGAGCGGGTTCTTGATGCTGGGGGAAAGCATCTAGATCAGTGTTTTTCAACCTTGGCCACTTTAAGAGGTGTGGACTTCAACTCCCAGAATTCCCCAGCCAGCCATGTAGATGTAGATGTTGCCCTTCCTGAAGTAGACAAAAGATGGATGAGGAAGATAAAATGATTCTGTAGAAGACGCCTTATTCTCTGCGATCCATTTGTTCAGAGAGAGGCAGAAAATCAAGAATCACCGTTTCACGCCTTGGGACCAATTCCAGACTCACTGACTCAGCTGCTGCCTACCTTCGCTTCTATTAACGTTAGAGCTGACGCCATACTGAGCCAGGGGGTATTAACCACAGCTTGTTGGTTAGTTAAGCAACCCTTTGCTCCAGACAGCACCACTGCAATTGCAGCATGGTTTTTGGTGGGTTTCAAGGGGGAGTGAGAACACTTTGACTCTTGGAGGCCTCCGGCCCCCCTCTCCACTTTTAAACCTGCCCAGAGCCAAAAAATGTTCCAAATTGTCTGACAATTCTTTTTGGCTGCGGTGCAGCACCACTGGACGGCTTCCCCTTCTAGGAGGTCGGGAGGCTGAGAGACACCCCCGTGCCTAGCGGAAGACCGTAAGTCACCCTACCCAGAACCAAAAGCACACAACACACAATCTTTAGTGCAGGGTGTGGAGTCATCCTCCAGAGCTGTTTTTGAGCAGCAAGACCCCCAAAGCATTCCCTTTCTTGCTCCCGATCATCTCTCTGTGGTGCTGTGTTTCTCTTTCCAGGCGAAGCAAGTCCTCTTGGAGAACAGCTTCCAGGGTAAGATCCTGAGGGTTCACCAGCCTCCAACCCCGTTCCCAGGACGGAGCTCAAGCTGTCTGTCCTTGTCTGTGAGGTCAAGCCTTTGGCCACTCACCTTCCGAGTGACGGAGTTCCCCCCTCTCCCCAGGTTCCCCAGATGTCATCTTCAGCCCCGAGTCCCCCAAGAAGCCCCTGCCTTCTCCTCAGCTGGATGAGTCCAGGGCGTGCATTCGCAGTCGGCGCCAATCTGGTGAGAACGGATCAGGGCCTTGGACCAGCATCTCTGCAGGAGCTTTCTCTGCCTGGGTGGTCAAGAATTCATTGATCCACCTGGTGGTTAGACGGCTTCTCAGAGGCATCGCGGGAGGGAGGTTAAAGGCTTGACCTTAGGGTGGGTGTTGAAGAAGCTCTATGTTTGGAGGCAATCTTTCTTCAGTCTCTCATGGCTAAGGGGCCCCAAATCAGCCTTCTGCATTCAGAAAGGGCTTGGACCACAATTCCCAGAATTCCCTTCAGCCTTGTTGCCTAGGAAGGCTGGGAGTTGTAGTCCTGGCACATGTTGCCAATTGACCTAGAGTGGTGTTTCTCAACCTTGGCAACTCTTAAGATGTGTGGACTTCAGCTCCCAGAATTCCCCAGCCAGCATCCCATGGCTTGCCAAAGGAAACCAGGCAAGCCATGGAAAAGCAGCAAGTAAGAGAGTTGCGTCCCTAAACCCTAGACCCAGAATTCGTTAATGGTGGCATTCAGTAGACAGGCTCGGAGTGGAACTGGGGGTTCCAGGATCATCCCCATGGAGACTGGGCGGCCAACTGAATCCCAGCCAGGATTCGACTCGGATTTTGTCTTTCAGAGCCTCCAGAATCCATGTATAGTCCAGAGAGAGTCCGGCGAAGCTGTCCCATTCTACTGCTGGAGAAAAGTGGCTCTTACCGCCGTGGCCGCAGGCAGTCAGGTGAGCTACCTAGAGAAAGAGGTGTGGCTGCCCAGGGCGGGTGTCCCGAGCATCCGCAGACCAGCAGTTCCTCAAGCGTGATGCACATTCTGCAGGAGGACACCAGGGGGCGCCAGCAGGCCACGAGACATGCTCATCCTCCCGGTCCATGTTCCAGAAGCCCTTTTCTGCCCCAGATGGCCACTTCGGACAGAGCCGGGCAGCTGGTCAGTCGCATAAGGCTTCCGGGGTGAGCCTGCGAGGGAAAGTTGCAGCCCTGCCCTGCCCTGGAGAGCATCATTGGAGAAGCATAAGCACGGTGTTTGTGCAACGACCTTCTAGGGCAGTGTTTCTCAACCTTGGCGACTTGAAGAAGGGTGGACTTCAACTCCCAGAATTCCCCAGCCAGGGAATTCTGGGAGT